GATAATGACGGGTTCATAAGACTTTCTGCATATTGATGCAGTCCAGAGGACTGGTGTTTTGCAGCCTTTTCACATAGTTTGTCAACATTGGCTTTGCTTATCGGTCTGGCAAACCAAGCTCCTCCACTTTTACTATATAAATCCATGGTATGCTCTCATCTTGAATACTGTGCACAGTTCTGGTTGCCCCATCTCAAAAAAGATATATTGGAGTTGGAAAAGGTACAGAGAAGGGCAACTAAAATGATTAGGGGTATGGAACAGCTTCCACATGAGGAAAGATTTAAAAGACTGGGACTTTCCGGATTAGAAAAGAGAGGACTAAGTGGGGATATTATAGAGGTCTATAAAATCTTGACTGGTGTGGAGAAAATGAATAGGCTCCTTCACATAACATAAGAACTAGGGGTCACCCAATGAAATTAATAGGCAGTAGGTTTAAAACAAACAAAAGGAAGTACTTCCTCACACAACACACAGTCTACCCGTGGAACTTTTTGTCAGGGGATGTTGTTAAGGCTAAAACTAGAACAGGGTTCAAAAAAGAACTAGATAAGTTCATGGAGGATAGGTCCATCAATGGCTATTAGCCAGGATGGGCAGGGACGCAACACCATGGTCTGAGAGCCTCTGCTTGCCAGAAGTTGGGCATGGATGACAGGGGATGTATCACTTGATAATTGCCTTGTTCTGTTAATTCCCTTTGAAGCACCTGACATTGGCAATTGTCGGAAGACAGGGTACTGGGCTAGTTGGACCATTGGTCTGACCTAATATGACCGTTCTTATGTTCTTATGTAAAAATTAATATACTACAAATATTTAGTACACCACCAAGCCAGACAAAATTGATCACTTGGGCAACACAGCTCTGTCTGCTGGATACCTAGGCAGAGTAGGTAAGTTCATGTAAATACAGTCTGGTCCAGAAGCCTACCCGCCACCCCTGGCTCACCACTAGCTGTCAAGGTAGAGCTCATTCAGACCTTGCTTACAAATCATAATTTGAAATTATAAAGCTGGCCAACATTGCCAAAACGAGTGCGCCAACACCGTCAGAAAAACAACAGCTGTGTGAAGAAGCTAGTCTTTGTTCATACTTTTCAAACCTATTATACTTGCACCTGAAAAAGTATTTTATCATACACCATATATGCTTTTAAAGTGTGTATTAATGTTTAAATTTCAATTCAAATTTCCAAGCAATGATGAAACTGGCAACACTGCATGCAACTAGTTGAGCACTGGGGGCGGGGTGTTGGGGAAGTTCTGGGGCGGTGTAGGGAAATCCCTGGTCAGAAATCTTCCTGGAGCCAAGGAAACTATGTCATACAGAGCAGTTGCTCCTCAGTTTTGCTTGCTCACCAAGCCCAACAGCTCCTATCAGGAGGAGACGGGGCTGCCATTGTGTCTGGGGTACAGGGATAGCTTGAACAGAAGTTGCTATTCTGCCTCCCTCCCTCCACTGGGCTGGATTTTGCCAATCTGCTAAGTTCTGGCACCCTCTGCATCATATAGGAGAGGGTAGCATGGTACTGAATGATAAGAAAGGAGAAGAGATTTTAACAGGAATTGAAAAGCATTTTGCACCAAAAATAAACTTTCCAGCTCAAAGTTACAAGTTCCACCCGATAAAGTGACTATAAAGAGAAAATGTCTGTGTTCCCAGACAATTTAAAAATGGTTTTCACTCCTTATGGGGCTGTTCCTTGCTCCCCTGCACAAGTGGGTGGGCTCTGACTCCACCCTACATAAGCGTCAGCCAGTGATACTGAGCTGGCCCATGGCAGGGTGTAGGCTGCTGCTGGTAAGAGGCATCTGCAGATTCCCCTTTACTTCCCCTCAGGAGCAGTCACATTTCCTTTCTTCAGTGCCACCCCTTGCACAAGGCACAATCTAGCCCTTGAAGAACGCATTTTTCAAAATTAAAGAGGGAATTTCTTTACTTAAAGACAATCTGTCTTTTCTCCTCCTCTAATTCAGACATTTCAGTTTATCACTTAGGCTCAGTTCTCTATTAATGACTATGACATGATGATTACTAATCTGTTGGTGAGATCTAGCCCAAGGCAGGTGAAGGTTAAGCTGTGGACAAAAAACCTTTTTTGAACAATGATCTCCAGTCGCAGAACTCCACTCTGAACAAACAGAGACCCACATTCACCAAGAAGCAAGTGAACACACTAAGCAGAATATAAATTTTAACACTGAGGTTCTCCAGTGAGACTCTTCCATCAAGTAGAATTAATTCATAAGAGATGGGAGAGTAGTCAGAAAGAAATATGTTTCCCCACTTCTAATGGCTAAAGTCAGGTGGACAGTTATCAGATGTTAAGTGAGGGCTCAAACACCTACCAGCCAGTATATAGATCTTTTTTCCAATGAGTCATTTCCACTCCCTTCCCCAGGCTAGAGTCCAAAAATTTATCATTTTTAAAAAGCCATGGAACATTGCCAAGTAAAGAATTAAAGCAGTCCACTCCCCAAAACGCAGCCATCAGCAACGTGAATAGTCCAAAGTCTAGCAACTGCACTAATTTGGTCACTTGACAGCTGGAGAGTTTCCAGGGACTAATAAGGGACAGTCAGATCCACTAAAATGTACGAAGGCAAAAACTTTGGCTACTGTGAAATATTCCATCAATATCTTTAATCTCTCAAAATCCAGAATACTAGTGCTGATTCCCTGGGACTCATAAAATTATGCTGATCCTCTGCACCTGAAAGAGTCATTCCTTTCACTTTTTCCTCCAGTTCAAAAGAGATATATTTAATCAAAGCGGAGTCTTTTCTTAACCACGATCCAGAGATTATACTGCAAAACACTCAGCAAAGTCTTACTTTTTTCTTCCTGCTTTGGTTTGATTAAGTCTTTCACAGCTCACAATGCACTCACCAGCAAACTGTCTGTCACTAGCATTGAGGATTCCTTCGAGGTGGCTGAAATCTTGGTCCTATATTGCCAGATGGATGTCTTCTGCATAGACAAAATGCCTGGCAGTTGTGGTAAGTGCTAGGAAGTAAACAGTGTGTTTGCTTCATGAAAGTGGGCTGTCAACCCGGCTTGGTTGAAAACACTGGAGAGAACTTTGGGTGAGATAAGCTTCTTCTTTAGACAGGAGTTCTTCTTAAGACAGTTGTTAGTTAAATTTAATCTCTAAAAAGTGTGTTATGGTTTTATTTTATATGTAACCACTGGTTTCCAGTACTATCACTTGAATCTCTGTTCTTTGATAATAAGCTTATTCTTGTTTTCACTTTCGCACAGAGAGACCCTGGCCTCAATTTTAGTGGTTTCTCAATCTGTCAGCTGATCGGGATGAAGGTCATATATATATATATATATATATATATATATATATATATATATATATATATGTGTGTGTGTGTGTGTGTCTGCACACGTACACATGTGCGCACATGTGCTATGTGTTCAGCAAAGTGTTGGTTGCAAGCTGAACCTTTTAAACTTGTGTGTTCTTCTGTTCCTTTGGGAACAGCAGGTTTGGTAATTCTGTGAGTGTTTGGTGGATAAGGGGCTGGACACGATGGGAAGCATTGAGAGGACTTGGGGGTTGATGTGTAACTATCACGTCCTGAACAGAGATAGTGAGGCCTGCAGAGGACTGAAAGGCAGTGTTTGTGTTGCCAAAGGCTGTTGGTTTCAGGGAATTGACCCACAACAGATCCAGACAAGAATCCTTCATGCTAAGGACAAGTGGTAGTAAGGTGCCTCACAACCCTGGGTTATCCCTGGGGACTGTCACAACCATGAGGCTGTCCTGCCCAACATAGCCCCTCCTGACATCAGGCGAGAAGTCACCCTGCAGAATCTGCTCCTTAAGGTGCAAGACATGCCATATCTACCCCTCTTTAAAGATGTGTTTAATCCACTGAGCCACTGTCTCATGTCAAGGCCTCCTACTTGAACAGTTCCTCCAAGGAACCTTGATATTGCCTCCAGGCAAGAGCAAGCTTCAAACATTGCTGATGCCTATCTTTTGACAGCTCCAACAGTCCAGCCTGTGATTTTGACCTTCCATGTCATCTTTGGGTAAAGCTCAATGGTTTCTGAGTGATCAAACGTGCTGCTAATGACCATAACTGGGTTTTTTGTGACTTCCCACTTTGCGACTGTGACCAGTTAGAAGATGCAGACCACATACTTGCAAGCTTCATCCATTGGCAAGGGCTGCCTGGTTCTCTTATGGATTTGCACAATATCCTTTCTTCAGCTTTTAAATGATTAAGGCACTTAAACTAACACACTTGACTCAGTCATCTATGTAGATACAATTGTAATATACATAGCACCCTACCAATAGCCCTCAGCTTCTCCTTACCTGTGATGATGGTCTTTTCTCAATGGAAAGTTTCCTTTAGAGGGGAAGGTCTTGCAGAATTCTACTGCACTTCTGCTGGCAGTAGAACCAAGAAACTTGTCAGGAATCAGGGCCTGCAGCAGAGCTAGTTTCCAAGCATTCTCACCAGTACAGCTGGCTGCACCTGGCTGCCTAATTACCCACACCACCAGATTAGCTGCAGAGGCAGCAGGCTGGCTCTTAAATCAGCAGCAGCAGCTTGCAGGCTTCTCAAATAGCGCCCCTCCCCAGGCCCTGGTGTAAGGGTATGGCCAGAGAAAAGGGATGTGGTTGGGACATCCATATTTTCCAGGAATCCTTGGCTTCCATGACAGTCCTTTGGGGCAACTGATGTAAGCGGAGTTGCCCACAGGCTACTTGAATTTATGAAGGAGGCTCATCTGGAAATCAGACAAACCAACAGAATAACCATTTGCACCTCTGATATTTCAAGCCCTAGACTGATCAAAGAAAGTAAAGACAAGTGTACTACTCATGTAGGTAAAACAAGTTCAGTGCTCTTAATTCCCAGACTAATTTATTCCTTAGATTGCAAGAAAATATACAAAGGAAACTGCGTTTGAACTAAATGTATTTAATTGTTGCCGAGTTACATCTGCACGAATTCTGAGTGGATGATATGAACCAACTGTATATTATTTTCAAACACACCCAGAACACAAAAATGACTGGACCGATTTCACTGAACTTTTCTTTAAAAAACTGCCTCTATGCAAAGAGCAGGGGTGAGAATCTGGTGCCTGTAAAAAGTTGAGAGCAGCATTAAATAGGGTCTACGCATGGAGGATTCCCTGCCACAGGAACAGAGGAAGACAGCTATTGTCTGTCCTCTGAGAACTCCATTGCAAGCTCTGAAGTACGGAGGCATATTGAGGACAGAGCTGGGGTTGGAAGGCATGTGAGTGGCAGGACCAAAGCATTCAGCACTACAGAGATTCCAGACAGCACTGCAGCCCATGGGGCAGCCTAGATAGGCTGCCATAACTTGGACAAGGCCCCGAGGACTAAGGTATTCCAGGGCTGTCCTGGTCCCCTGAGCAGGTCAGAATCAGGAGGGCACAAGCTGTCTCAAAGCCAGCTTCATTCTCCCTGGACTGCGAGTTCTGTACTGTGCCTCCTAAAAGGTGCAGCACTGACTTTCATCTGAGATATGAAAAACTGCATCCAAAAATTTTGTTTGAGAAAGTTATGGGTAACAGAAAAAGAGGAAGACTCCAATGAAAGCTGCATTCCAATCTTAACCCCCTTGTCTTTTGCTGTTAATATACTGGTGGGAGCTCACCAAATACTACTCAATATTACAATATTTATTGAATTTTGTCTTTTTTCACTTAATAATTAAGTCAATGAATAATTTTAGTTTTGCAATACTATTTATCTGATACATTATTTAACACATATTGGCAATGGTCATTGACCTATTTATGCAACACTGGTTTTGTGGTATTTGACCAGCTCTGATAATGAGATGAGCATCAACATCAATGCAGTTTAAACAGAGAAATATGAAAAAAAATTATGTACTTGAAATATGATGATGAAGGCATACTAGGTTTGAAAAGAAGTTGGCACAAATGATAGATTCGTACAGACTAGGGGAAAGCTGGTTGTCAAATAATGCAAACCAAGGCAAAGAATGCTGAATACTGTCTTAAATGTTTTGAATTGCTTGTTTGGACTTGCACGAGAAATTTGAAAACTGGGATGCATAGTCAGTATGAAGTAACACTCAGACTAGGTGCTTTACCTCCTCCTCCAGCACATTTCATCATTTTCTATTCATTGTAATTTTTAACAACCTAATGACAGGCAATCTTCAAAGAGATACAGAAGAACTTTGAGAAATAGATTGGGTACAAAGAATAGATTGCATACAGTCATGGATGCAGGGGTGGATTAAGGCAGGATCATTGAATCTGTGGGATCAGGGCCTGGCCATGTGAGGAGGCTGAACACAGGAGTGAGTCAGTGAGGAACAAAAAAGATTTTATGCTGGGGGGCTGGGAGGGGAAAATGAAGGACTCCAATGTGGGGAGGCAGATTGGAAGGAAGAGTTCATTTCAGTGGCCAGGAGAGGAATATTAAGAAAATCTGGGGGTGTAATGTTATTGGTCTGGGGGCTGAAGTTTTGGTTATCTAGATCCTGTTTAGCTTTAAGCAATGGCATACAGTTTATTTGAAAATAAATGTGTGAGATTTTAAATGTTAAAAGGTGTAAGATAAATGCAAGCACTATTGAGTAAATACTCTCTAAACAGATGGACAGAATCATCTGAAATACAGTAAAAGGAAAAAAAAATCCTGAATAGTGAATATATTGACTTTCACTTTGACAAATACATTAAAGTAACACCCTAGAAATAGAAATACTTCACACTTCTATAAGACTTTCACCCGAGTATCTCAGAGCAAATTACAAACATTAACAGCAGCTCTCATTCCCTAGTACAATGCAGGGGAATGTTTACACCCAAGTAAAATCTATTTGCAGTGGAATTTTTTTTAAATCACAGAAATATTGCTTTTACCAAACCTAAATTCGGTCCCTACATTGATTCAACTATGGCCCTTTAATCAAAGGCTGCTGGAAGCTCTTTGCACATCAGAGATTTGTGTATGTGTGACAGGGTAGGAGATGGAGGCAAAAAAGCTGAGCTAAAAGATAGTCTGCTTGCTTCCTAAAAACACACACATGTGTACATCAATGTTTGCCTCTCAAGTGAACTGAGGAGCTTTTGCTGGCTGCAAGTCTATAGTGAAATTCACTTCTGTGCCAACATAAGGCAAAGGGGTGAAAATCACCCATGCCATACATCATTAGCAAAACCAGATAGTTTGCAGTGGATCAACATGCAAAATATATGTGGGAATAATGGAAAAATTCTGTCATTAAAAGGTAGCCTAAGCCTGTCCACTTCTGCATAAAAAAGCAAATGTGATAACATTGTTCCCTTTAGAAAGGAAAAGCCCTTATATTTTACAGGCTCATAGAGTTTATCAGTGGTGACTGGCTTATTCTGTCCCAGCTTCCAATGAATAGATGAGGAAGAGGTGAAGAATTATCAATTCTGGAGATTATAAATTCACAATCAATGGAGAAAAATGTAAAAACACAAGAGCTAACAACAATAGGCTGTGTACATCTATCCATTATTTGGAAAGGCAACACAGTAACATTGGGCTTTCTTAAGGGACTTATTGTGCTCAGCCCTACACAGGTGCACAAGGTTAGGTGAGGGGCCAAGGACCTCTTCAAATCCTGAGCGTGCACTGATGACCTGCAATGGCCACTGTGCCCAAGAACTGACAATGCCGATGCTGGCACCAGAAAGGGGTATGGCCAAAGTCCTGACCCACCAGTGCATCAGCCAATGAAGTTGACTTGTGATAGGGAGGCATGTATGCCATGCTCCCCCACCTCCACTCCTGGCACCGTGACCTGATGAGGCACAATGTCTATGAGAGCTCTTACTTTGCACTGCCTCCTGCCATGGCCTCTCTTAAAGCCACAACTGAGCTCTAAACACATATGGATACTGAGAAAGGCAGATGGACCAAAACCAAAACTGTTTTTCCAATCCCCTCCCACAACCTGAGAGACACATCTAAACCAAGACCAGGGATGGTCCCATTAGATCAGGGGTGCCCCACCTCATAAAGCCCACAGCCAGCTTCAACACAATATACTAACAGCTGATTCATCAGTGTTTTGTCGTCATGCTTACATCATTTTAGTTTACACAAGTGTGTAAACAGAGAATAGTGTACATAGAAACAACCTCTCTAAATACATGCTAAACAAGCTGAACTTAAAATATAAATCAACACAGGTTACTTTATATCTTATTAAAATATGTAGAATCTGTTGGCCCACACAAGGTTGTGCTTAGGTGTATGTGGCCCTCCTGTGTAATAAGGATGGGCACCACTGATTTAGATGACCCCAAATATAAAATTATAAACCCGAGCTATGAAGTTTTGTGGTTGAACTCCACTGGTTGAATATTATTCATCTACTACATTGATGAAAATCACAATTATTCATTAATTTATTAGAATATTATGTGATGAATAAATGGTGGTGATTAACGACCATCTTCATCAAATAATGTATTCAATGTTGATCTCTTCTGCTTTGGACTCGGGCTCTTGTTTTGTCCTCTCTACTCAGAAAGCCTTGTGTTGTGTGGAAGGTGTCATGTATGTTCAGGGAATTACAGATTTGGCCTTCAAGAGGAGGAGATGGAGAATACTTTCAGTGGTTCTGACTCATTTTATTTCAAGAAATTCAGGGTCTGATCTTGCAATTTCTCCAAAACTCTCTTTGACTTCTGTCATAAGTATAAAGGGAAGGGTAAACACCTTTAAAATCTCTCCTGGCCAGAGGAAAAACCCTTTCACCTGTAAAGGGTTAAGAAGCTAGGATAACCTCGCTGGCACCTGACCAAAATGACCAATGAGGAGACAAGATACTTTCAAAGCTGGAGGGAGGGAAAAACAAAGGCTCTCTCTGTCTGTGTGATGCTTTTGCCGGGAACAGAAAAGGAATTGAGTAAGTAATCTAGCTAGATATGCGTTAGATTCTGTTTTGTTTAAATGGCTGATAAAATAAGCTGTGCTGAATGGAATGTATATTCCTGGTTTTGTGTCTTTTTGTAACTTAAGGTTACAAAAATCCCTAGAGGGATTCTCTATGTTTTGAATCTGATTACCCTGTAAGGTATTTACATCCTGATTTTACAGAGGTGATTCTTTTACTTTTTCTTCAATTAAAATTCTACTTAAAATCCAAGGGTTTGGGTCTGTGTTCAACTATGCAAATTGGTGAGGATTTTTATCAAGCCTTCCCCAGGAAAGGGGGTGTAGGGTTTGGGAGGATTTTGGGGGGGAAAGACGTTTCCAAGTGGGCTCTTTCCATGTTATATATTTGTTAGATGCTTGGTGGTAGCAGCAATAAAGTCCAAGGGCAAAAGGTAAAATAGTTTGTACCTTGGGGAAGTTTTAACCTAAGCTGGTAAAAATAAGCTTAGGGGTTTTTTTCATGCAGGTCCCCACATCTGTACCCTAGAGCTCAGAATGGGGAAGGAACCTTGACAACTTCCATGGGAGCTCTATACATGTCCTCATCTCTTTCCCTGCAGCATTCTCATCCCTTTTCCCCACAGCAGAATAGAGGACAATTATTGTCCCTGCTTTGGTCTGAGAAAGAACTACATGATGGGGCCCCCAATTTTTACTAAGGCAGTTAGAATTAATTTATGATAATCTGAGGTATCGAGAGGGCAATTGGAAAAGTCAAATCTCCTTAATGGCACAACCCAGTGGACTCAGAAACATGCCAATTAAGGAATGGTCCTGATTATCAGAGGCTCATAAGAATACATTGTACTTAGAGATAATTGCCTGTTTCATGAATTATTGTAAAAAATAAGCATAGTACAATCCATTTGACTCCCTGAGTAATAGACACCCGACAAAGAAACTGTAGTTTCGCAACTCTGGGTGCTTTTTCACATTCTGATTTAAAATTGATTTAGGTTTATGAAATTAAAATAGACTAAGTCCTTTGAAGTGTAATAAAATAACTAAGATAGAGTTGAGGAAGCTGAAATCACACACTAGTTTTCTTGAGCAGATTAGCAGACATTTGAAAACATGGATCTGTACCACAATTATGCCTATTATTGATACACATTAACAGAGCAGAAGAACATGCCATAACAGCTCTGAAGAACCTTTTATCAGTTCACAAAAGATCAGTTTTATACAAAGGAAAAAATATGCTAAAGAAAAAAAGGAACTGAGACTAAAGCAGAGTGAAAAGTGAACATTTTTCATTGTCTATTCATTTGAATTCAAAAAATGAATTTCTATCTGATTGTTTTCACTACCCTTTTCATATTTGCTTTCTATGGACTTTGAGCAGTCATGTTTTACTGGCACTAATACTCAAGAAAAATATATATTAAGCTCCAGTATCTGAAAATGCACGATGGGCAAAATTCAACCCTGTGCAAAGATCCAGCAAAAGGCTCGTCTATTACTTATGCCCCACATAAGCCCTCAAAATAGGGCTAAAGCAATACACAGACCTGTGGTGCACAGGGATGAATTTTACCCTGACAGAAAATTTTCAATTATATATTCTATTTCAATATTCAAAATTTGCAATTTGTGTGTAGTAGTTAGCCACTTAAGTCATTAAGCAGAATTAATTCCATGAGACCCGTGCTGCTGACCAAGCATGCCAGTTTTGAAGCTCAGATACCAGAGCCACAATGACTGGCTTGCAAGCTATTCATGTAGCAGAACAGATGTTTGTAAAGAAATTTGTGACTAATTTTATTACATTACTAAACTGAAGCACTCTATCAATAGAATGATACCAAAGTCAACTTGTACATTCTTTTAGCGTTTTGTTGTCATGCTTACATCATTTTAGTTTACATTCATTCAATAGTACATTCATTCAACGTCCCAGAACTAACTGAGTTGACTGGTCTTTATTTTTTTAAGCCTTATAGTAGCATCTTCAACATAACAGAACTGAAAGTAAATTACTTTCATGCCAGTCTACATGATTATGTTTACTGTCTTGCCAAATTACTATTTTTATGAGGACAGAGTGGACCACAAGATGGCTTTACTGTTATTCAACTATTCTCAGTATTAGTCTGGGTAGGGTAATATTAAAAAACTAAATGAACTTGGAAAGCTGCCTGTTTAGTTATAGATTTAGGCTCCAGTCCTGCAAAGAATTACAACCATGTGAGTAGTTCCACTCATCTTACTCTACTACCCTGGTGTCTCAATGGGACTAGGTGCTTGGAGTTAGGGCATGCATTGTGTTTTGGTCCTTAGTCCCCAATCCAGCAACCCCTGGCTCTAGTGAGTGATTCTTATCCATGCAAGCAGCCGCACTAACTTCAGTTAAAGCAGAGGCAAATGCTTGGGAGTTTTGCCATCAACTATAATGAAGCCAGGATTTCACCCTACAAATTTCAATTTAGGATACAACTCTCCAAGCCTCTACTTTGAAAATACCTGTATTTTATATCAACCACTTTATTAAGTTCAACTGACTCACCCTTTTAATACATACATTTGATTAATTTCAGAGATTGGGATTTCCCCTTTCTAATCCCCATTTCATTAATTTATGCTTACATCCTTTATGCTTACATCCTTGTTTTCTCAGGTGCTTTGTGGGTTGGTTTTTTCTGAGGGCTGCAAAGACAATTTAATGTGCCTATTTTCTGTAATCTTCTGAAATGACACAGCTGAGTGAAATTTTGCCCCAAACTAACAATTTGTAAAAATAATGGATTTTGTAAAAACAAGTTAATAGAAATCTTCCCAGGATTGTTTTAAAACTGAATTTCAGTGGAGATGGTTTCCTTTAAAGAAAAGAAAAGAAAAGAAAAGAAAAGAAAAGAAAAGAGCAAGGATTCTCTTGCAGAGTATCTTGCAGATACCAATCCAAATATTGCAGCATTGTGCAGGTCAAATATGTGAAAACATAAAAGCAAAAAATATTAACTAACTAAAAGCTATATAAAAGTGAAACTAACCAGTTTCATTTATCAAGCTGAGATATGCAAAAAGAAAAGAAACAGCCTAAATGATTAAAAGTACCTCATTTTAAAAAAACTCTGTTTTAGTAATCTAAAGGGGTATTTTAAAAACACAGATACAGAAGTTATATGATTTTTAAGGTGACAATATTCCTTTAATATGTAGCATAGTGAAGTTATGCACACCTGAAGACTGAACATCATAAAAAAGGGCAATGACTCTTAAAACGTTTTCACTGTTACAGCACACATATGTACTTAGGGATTAAGAACAGATTTCTGTATTAATTTTAAATTCTAAAATGTAGTGGGTAACTTGAATGGGAATATTTCCCCAATATGAAATAACAATATTTATCAGAAATAGGGAAATACACAAACTACTATCTAGAAAAGAGCAGTAACTTACCTACTAATATCTAAGGTACAAAATTCATGCCTACAGTGTGCCTTATTTAATCTAATCAAAGCATAACTATTTGTTGTACACAGCCTAATCAGCACTGGTAAGTAAAGAACTGAAAATTAGTAAAGCACTTAAACACATGCATAACTTTAAAGATGTGAGCATTCTGATTGACTTCAGTGGGATTACTCACATGCCTAAAGTTACAAAACCGCTTAAATGGTTTGCTGGGTTGGGGTTGTATGGAGGATTTACCTGAGCCAACCATGACTGCTGAATTGGGGAATGATCTCCAATTTTCATGCATTCAAAACTCTCACTGACTTTCCATGTTTAACTCATGATCCCTTCCCCTGGCATGACAAAGATAACAACTGAAGGATTAAGCTATATCCTCCATTCTCTTTCTTATGTGCTAATTTGCTGACTTCATTCCGAAGCTTTGGTTTCTTTCTTCAGGGATATGTACATTCCTTGTTGACGACCTGATCTTCCTGAGTCCTTCATTAGGAGGCATGCCATATAGTATATCCGTAGGGACTTTCAAATAGCCATGTACTCAATGTCCAGAGCCTGCAACACTGAAATCAGTGAGAGTGTTGTCATTAGCATCAATGTGAACAAGACTGGACCCTGAGCAAATCACCCATGTTTCTCTAGGCAACAAGTGTTCTGCCCTAATCTATTAAAGAAAGAAATATTTTTAAAGTTTTAGTGTAAACAGGCCTTCATTAATTTACCTTGATTTGCAAAATCTGTTTTGGTGTCTGGAGACTCATTTTAGTTATTTACTGTAAAATTGGTATCTAAACATATGCAGCATGCACTATATTGTTTTTTTTATTGATTTAATATGCATAGGCACTTTTAAAATCTGAGTCAGACACTGATTATTCCGGTTTAACAAAAACTATGATGCCTCACAGGGTGTTAGGGCAAGAGCTTATTCCTTTCTCCAAAACAAAGATTTAGCTAAGGCCTGAGCCTGAAAATCCTGACTTAGTTACGTCAGTGGTCTTCAACGAGGCTCTGATCCTGCAGTACTGTAGCCAGTGAGGGCAGGAGCAAGCCCCTGCTCTGAAGGGACTGCCTTCCAGAAAGATTGTAATTGAGTCTTTATGCTCATTCAGTCCAGAATCTCCCTGCTGCGACTCCCAACAAAGATACCAATTAGTGCCAATTATGATGTTGCTCTTGTCCACTAGGAGCTGAGGAGGGTCCATCATCTTTTTCATACAGAACAGGATTCAGCTGTTAACTACTTTCAGTCACCATCAACCTAGGTAAAATTCAAACCAATGACTAGATCTGACAGGTTCTATATCCTATTAGGAGTCCCCAACCCATCATGATCCTGCCTCCTTCCCAAAATATTTAGACAGGTCACAAGTACAAACGAAAATAAAATGTGGGATTACATTTTTTTTAAAAAGTCATTAAGTAATGGAGCATTTTTCATCTCTCAACAAACAGCTGCAACTAAAATTTTAAACGGAACTTTGTCAGGATAAAAATCATATACATAAAAAAATGTCTTCAGCTGTGTTACCAATATTAATACCTTAATGATGAAAAGTTAAATTAATGTGAGAAATCTAATTGACTTTTTATTCATTTATTATGTTTGTTTAGATTTTGCACTTCATAAAAACATACTAGTCAGTTTCACTTTGGTTCATGATGAGTTTAACTTTCTGGATCTCATGCATTATACCAATGCCTCAGTGCCTGGCTTTCAAATACTGAACAGGAATTTTTAAATCCAAACCAAAACCTGTTTTCATTTACTTGATCTTAAAAAAACCCATTTCACTGAATACTGTGTTTCATAAAACCTCCTTTTTTCCAAACAAAGGATCTTAATTTTGCTTACCTCATCTATGTGAATAATTCTAGGTCAGACAAATGACTCCAATGCAGTCCATGAAACTGCTTGCGTCAGTAGATATTGCTTATATGAGGTTGCAAATCCCAGATAAGGACAACAGAAGATAAGAAAAAATCTCCTACCTCATTTTTGCTCTCTCTACAAAACTGAAATGCAGCATCTCTGTAAACTTTAAAGGTTAGAGGTTTAGAGACAGATTTTGTATTGTATATAGAACTATAATAAAACATAATGAAGCAAAACATAATGTAAGCTTAACGAATTCCAAAGTTTTTATATTTTAGGGCCTGATCCTGCAAACCCTTTCTTATTGGAGTGATTCTGCAGCCCTTGTTCCCATACATGCTGTTTACTCATGCAAGCAGTTCCATTAAGTCAATGGGACTACTCAGCAGAGCTACTCATTGTGAGTACAGATTGCAGGATCTGATCTATACATAAGGATGTACAGGATCAGACTGTAAGATAAAAAAGTATAAACTTCATCCTGATTACATTATATTTTGCTTCATTATGCTTTTATGACAGTTTTATATACAACATCAAAATCAGTCACCTAACCTCTAACCCCTCTACAGATTATACAGAGACAATATTTCAGTTTAGGAGAGAAATTAAAAAAAAAAATAGGAGGCAGTTTTTCTTACCTGCTATCTTCTTCATCTTCTTCTTCATTGTTATGGCCCAGTGCCAGCACTTAACAGATCAGAGACCAGGACAAAGAAAAGTTAATTACTGTATGTAAACCGAGTTTTTTCTATGACTCATTTGTTCTCAATGAGGTCTCCTGCATGCTAACTGTTAAACAGTACAGTCATTACATTTTTTTGACAATTAATGCAAATTCTACAGCTTTGCTGTCTTCATAAATGACAACACCCATCAGTGTTAAAACTTGCATTTTTTCCAATTATCAAAAGATACACTGATATTAGATTTCGGACTTCATCTTGCACTCTCTACTCAGATGAAATTCTGTTTGACTCTATTGAATCTTTTGTCTGAATTAGGTCTTTTGGAGTCAAAATTGTTGCAAAGTAATCTCTTTTTTCATTATGATATATATGTGTACACACATACAAACACACACTCTCTAATATGAGGACATTTCTAATTTCATACTTCATAAATTTTATACACCGAGTTTACAGCTTACAAAAAAACCACTCAGTGAAACTAGAGACAATGCCCCTGGCCTCATGTGTAAAACAGAGGAACTAACTATGCTCCCACTGCAGTCAATGACAAAATTCCTTTCGGCTACACTGGTGCCCTATAAATTCCCTTGACTATTTAGAAACACAATTTCTAATCCCTGCAGATATAATTCATAATTTCTTCCGACTGAGCTGCATAATCTATGTTGTGGGTGTGTGTCTTTCACTTTATCCATTTTGTGAGGTATGGGTCCTTGAGGAGAGACCTCAAAAACAAAAAGATTCTTTCTGCTCTGGATAGATGTTAAAGATTCCATGGTACTTTTTGCAAGAGAAAGGACTCACTCTAGTGAGCAAGGCTAAATTTCTGTGGCACTACTTAAACATCTTGTGCTACCAAGACCCAGCTTGTGCCTATATGAGAGTCACTCCAAACACCTATTTATAATCAACACGACCATCCTATCAATCATTTGGTCTTTGATATTTTTGCAGTGTAACTTGTTTTCTCTATAGTTCATATATTATGCTAGAGTTTGTTTAATGGAGCTGAGTTTTCTTTCTTTTTACTCTATTAGTGTTGAAAATATTTTTTGGGAAAAGTCAGAAGAATTATTTATATGCTTGAAGGAATCTGAAAAGTAGCTGGAAGTCACTTGCTTCTCATGTTTATTTATTTAGTCTGAGATGATCACCACATATTGAACACTCACCATACAACATTACATTGCTCCAATCCTTGAGTTATTACTACACATTTCAAAGAGTATAATTTACACAACTGCTGTCTTGAGGCTGCATTTTTTCTATCACTGATGAAAGATCACAAGGGAGAGAGCAAAGAAAATGACTGTTTCATGGGATCCCATATTTATGCATTTTCTTCAACCACAGATTGTTTTGGCAGTCTAAACAGTAGCTTGTAAAGCCTTCTTTGATGTCACCAACATGCTCGTTTTATATATTTAGTGTAAAACAAAAAGAAATATTTCTCAAAATAATATCACACAAATAATTATTATTTCACTAGAGATGGGCATGAACAAAAACATTCATGATCTGAATTCCTCAAAATAAGGAGGTATCTGAAATCCAAATGCAGAACAAGACTTGAACCCGAAGAAGAGCAAGGATGATAAAGTGGTTAGGGCATTAGCCAGGGACTCAGGAGACCTGCATTCATTTCCCTGCTCTGCCTGTGAGATGTTGGGCAAACACTTATTTTCACTGTGTCTGAGTTCCCCAGTTGTAAAAAACGGGACAATGGCATTTCTGTACTTCACAGGGTGTCATAAATATAAAGGGAAGGGTAAACCCCTTTGAAATCCCTCCTGGCCAGGGGAAAGCTCCTCTCACCTGTAAAGGGTTAAGAAGCTAAAGGTAACCTCGCTGGCACCTGACCAAAATGACCAATGAGGAGACAAGATACTTTCAAAAGCTGGGAGGAGGGAGAGAAAAAAGGGTCTGTGTCTCTCGGTATGCTGGTTTCTGCCAGGGATAGACCAGGAATGGAGTCTTAGAACTTTTAGTAAGTAATCTAGCTAGGTATGTGTTAGATTATGATTTCTTTAAATGGCTGAGAAAAGAATTGTGCTGAATAGAATAACTATTTCTGTCTGTGTATCTTTTTTGAAACTTAAGGGTTTGCCTAGAGGGGTTCTCTATGTTTTTGAATCTAATTACCCTGTAAGATATCTACCATCCTGATTTTACAGGGGGGATTTCTTTATTTCTATTTACTTCTATTTTTTATTAAAAGTCTTCTTGTAAAAAACTGAATGCTTTTTCATTGTTCTCAGATCCAAGGGTTTGGGTCTGTGGTCACCTATGCAAATTGGTGAGGCTTTTTATCCAACATTTCCCAGGAAAGGGGGGGGTGCAAGTGTTGGGAGGATTGTTCATTGTTCTTAAGATCCAAGGGTCTGGGTCTGTAGTCACCTAGGCAAATTGGTGAGGCTTTTTACCAAACCTTGTCCAGGAAGTGGGGTGCAAGGTTTTGGGAAGTATTTTGGGGGGGAAAGACGCGTCCAAACAGCTCTTCCCCAGTAACCAGTATTAGTTTGGTGGTGGTAGCGGCCATTCCAAGGATAACGGGTGTAATATTTTGTACCTTGGGGAAGTTTTGACCTAAGCTGGTAAAGATAAGCTTAGGAGGTTTTTCATGCAGGTCCCCACATCTGTACCCTAGAGTTCAGAGTGGGGGAGGAACCTTGACACAGGGGTATTGTAAAGATGAATGCATTGAAGACGGAAAGGCGCACAGGAACTCCAGCAATGAAGGCCATGAATGTATCATAGCTAGAGTTTTACCAATAATACTTTACAATACTTTTCACTTACAAAGCTTTTTTATCCGCCTGTTGATCTCAAAACATTTCACGATGGGCAAGTATTATCATCTCCATTTTACAAATAGGAAGTAACAGGTCAAAGAGAGGCGCAGTCACTTGCCCAATGTCACAGAGTGAGTCTGAGCAGGCCCTCACATTGGTAGCCACGTCATTTAAAAACTTTCAAAGACATTAAATATCTGAATAGGACTGAGGGCCGAGTCCTGCTTGCCTGCATTCACTGTCAGGTGGCTACTCTAGAATGGACCGAAGGTTTTGGCACAAAGTAAATAAATGCTAGTGCACTGACCACATGAAGTATTTCTACAGATCTGAACATTTCTACCTGTTCTAGAGAGGTTCCCTATATGTACAATGGAGAATTATGCTGGAACCAAAATAATTTAACCTGAGAAATGTTTTAAGTGCAACCATTGGAAATACAGTCCTAAACTTGGCACTTTGATACTGATCAGCAACGCTGCCATACCTGCACCAATAAAATAGAATGGGAAATGCTTGTCATTATCCATCTTCCATTTTTAAAAAAAGGACTTGATTCTGCATTCTCTGTGCGATCAAAACTCCCACTGAGTTCACTAGAAGTTTTGGGTGTGCAAGGAATGCAGAACTAGGTCCAACAATGATCAAGAAACACTTCGTTTATTCAGGGCTTCCTAGAAGTTCTGTTGCTCAGACATGGCCTCCCACTTCTTTCAACATCCAAGTCTTTTCCTTAATTACTTACATGCTCCTTGATTAGCACTTTACTGATTACAAATGATTTCTTTTTCTTGCATGGTCAGAACATATCCAGGCTGACAAAGGTTTTTCTCTGTTAAATCAGTGTATTCCCATCTCAGTATTACCGAATTACAGTCTGAAGATTCTTATATTTTAAAAACACTGATCCTGTGGTAAAACCTGTGGGACAGATTTCAGAGTGAGAGATCTTCCCACATCATTCCACTGAGGGGGTTGGAAGTGGGGTTTCCTCCTCTATGGAAAGAGGCTGCAAAGCTGATCCTTAAAGCCAGTAAATCTTTGGTGTGTGGGAGACCAGGGTAAACCTTACAAAGGCCTTGTTCCTCCAGAGTGGCACTGAATCTCAACCTGCCACTCCCTGCCCTGCTCAATTACAGTCATATCGTCAGGGCTTCCATCTTGCTATGGCTGCCTGTAGGCTCAGAACAAAAGGTAAATGAAGTCCCAAACTATTATCTTTCTAAACTAATTTCTATGGGACTGAAGAGGGGATGACGCAGGTGTATAATTAGTTGAGCTGGTTGAATACAGCCAAAAATAATTGTCAAATTATTTGTTTAATGAAAGACAGCAAAATTCCCTGGATAATGTACTGAAACAATAATGTTAAACCAACTCAACTAATATCGGAAACCACGCCAAAAAAAAACCCAACCACAAACCACCCCTGAATGTGTGTGGTTTCCAACGTGAGTTCCAGTAGATCAGGAAAGATTTGAACGGAACTCCCAAAACTTAGGAGGTTCACATTCTCTAGTCACTTCCAAAGCATCGTGGCTTGTACTTAGAGTCAATGACCATCAGCATTTTGACAGGTGTGTGTGCACTATTTCATAGCTCGATGCCCACATTTTCAAGGGTTGGACTCCTTGTTTACACTTGCACATGCAATATAAAAATATCTAATATCTGCAAAAGCACTTTAAATAGTCTAATACCTGAGGGTGCACAAGCTGTAACATTTGTACATGCAAAGCCGAGGGTCTCTGGTTTCAAATTCTAACATCTGTATACCTGTAGGGGTCAAACCATTTAAAGGGCTTGGGCAGGTAGAAATTCTCTTAGCACACAAGTGTCCAGACCTGCAAAGTATGTGTCTAAGTATCTGTGCATACACACAGTGGGTGGGTAAAAGCCTAAATGAAAGCTTACTCATAAATAATGTGATGGTAATTACCATTAGAAATCATTTTATTTTCAAATAAGTACCAAAGTACATGAGGTCTATACCTTGACACAATACCAAATATATTGAATGCATTTATCCAATTGTTGTTTTGAATTTTTCATGTGAATCCAGTGCTAATGAAAAGTGGCACATTGCTAGACTTGGAGACTGAAGTCCTATGCACACCCAAAGAACAGATACAATACGTTCAGTGGCCATGCAAGCTTTCCCACACTCATAGGCGCCGACTTTCCAAAGTGCCAGGGGGTACTCGAC